TAAATGCGTGTATTTTGAGAAATGAGAAAAAAATAATGCACGTTTTTGAAGGAAAAACAATATCCAACATAATAAGAGTTTTTATTATATATCATAAAACAATATTTTACTCCAATTCTCTTCTCTTCTGTCGATTATATATGACAGTAGGTAGAAGAGCATTATTTCATAGTCTGTATATCAAAAAGATATTAATCGATAATTTCTTTTTCAAATGTTCTTATCAATTTTATCCAGTAAGCGAAATCGATTATTGATATTACTGTTTGTTTTCATGCATTTAACTATAAATATCTTAAAAAACAATATTGTTGAGAATATATTTGTATAACCATTTATTGTCTAATTCTAAATGATAATGTAAAAAAAACGAGTACTACCAACTCATTTTATGTAATTGTTTGTGAAGATGATAAGAAGAAGTTTTGTTATATGTAGAATATGTATGAACGTCAAAATACATTCGATCTAAAATATTATTTTTATGTTTTTGATTTCGAAATAAATTCTATATTTATCGTTTTGATAAAATTATTATCTTTGGTGATTCATTATCAGATACAGATAATTTATATAAATTAACAAATTATACAAAGCCATTGTTCCTCCATATTATCAAGGTCGTTTTTTTGATGGTCCCAATTGAATTGATAAATTAATCCCAATTAATAAATCTAATTATGCTTATGGTGGTGTAACAAATAATAATTTTGTTCCAGGTCGAATTATATCTGGTACAATATTTGTACCTAGTGTTCGACAACATATTCAAATTTTTTTCAAAGATACTTTAAATAATAGTATAAATTTTCATCGTACACTTTATATTATATGAGCGAGTGGAAATGATTTTCTTTCGAATCCGTATATGGGCACGGTCAAGCGTTAGAGAATTTCATTTTCTTACATTGTTGAATCTGTATCTCTTCAAAGTCAAAAGAAAACGTCATTAAATTTTCATCATAAATGCAGACTGTTAAATTCCCTTTTGTAGAATCTGAGTTATTCAAGAAACACATCGCCTTAAGAAATTTCAAAAAATGGACACGATTTTAAGGATGGACTCAGAGTTTGAAGCCTTATATAATAATGAAACGATTCTCAAAAACATGTTCACAAGAAATTTGTTCAGTCCTGAATAAGCTGTAAGAACATCGGGTCCTTTTCTGGCAGGCATCGATGTATCTCATAGAAAACTGAAAAATAATGTCCGTTACGGAATTTTGCCGGTTTTCGCTTTTTCCATGCAAGACAGTTTAATGCCATTTTTATGATAACTTTAAGTATAAAGAAATTTCATTGAAAATTTCACTCATTTTTTGGCAAAAATGCAAAGTTATAGGATGAAAAACCAGTGAAATTTATGAATTAATTGTGTTTTTAAACTCCTAGTAAAGAAAAATGAAATTGATGTCATATGTCAGCTCAGTAACTTCGAGTGCGGAATAAATTTAATAATATTTCAAGACGATACGCTCTATAGCAAAAACATTTTTCTATATCTTTATGATTTAAAACCTTTCCCGTGCAAGGGTGAGCGATGGCTGGCCGTACCATATCACTCCTCTGATCTATTTCGCACTAAATTTTCAGCTGTAGGAGAAATAATGAAAACATAATGAAGACGGTGTTCATTGACGATCTATCTTGAATATGAATAAAAGTCAATTTAACAGACAAAATTTTCAAAAATAAAAGCAAGTTTTTGTTAAAAATATTGAGAAGTTTCTCCAATAACTTCATGAAGAATTTTTTTTCGTTTGATTCCATCTAATAATGTTCGTTTATAAGTCACTTCTTCGTCGTCATTTGACAGGGTTTTCCGAAGTTGTTCAATAGATTTTTCCATTGTTTCAATGGCTTCATCGAACCTTCCTACATTTGAATAAGCTAATGCTATATTCTATAGAAGTGTACCGATTAAAGTATGATTATCGAGTAAACATTCTGACGCTAAGGAAAGACCTTTAAAATAATGATTTAATGCATTTGAATATTGTTTTTCTTCTTGTATTCTGTTGAGGAAGGGGATAAAGTATTCACTCATTTTTAAACTCTTCCTTGTTGAAAAAATTATATTTTTGATGTTTAATGACCTTTCGGTTGGTCGAGACTTCCTTCGTCAGATTTATTGCTATTGATGAAACGAAAATTAGAACATACACATACATATTTATATTCTTTTTTCTTCTAGTATTTTCTTTCTTTTTCGTTTTCTTATTGATAGTGGGTCGGCAAGACGGTGATAGCTGGTAGAAGTGATTCATTCTTATCATCTTCTGCCGACCTACTATCAATTAGAAAACGAAAAAGAAAGAAAATACTAGAAGAAAAAAGAATATAAATATGTATGTGTATGTTCTAATTTTCGTTTCATCAATAGCAATAAATCTGACGAAGGAAGTCTCGTCCAACCGAAAGGTCATTAAACATCAAAAATATAATTTTTTCAACAAGGAAGAGTTTAAAAATGAGTGAATACTTTACCCCCTTCCTCAACAGAATATAATTTAATAACCTCGACGGAGAGAGAATTACAACAATTGCTCGGAAATTAGAACAATTATATCAAAAAAGAATTAAAATAGAACAACATGTTCAATTCTTGAGAGAATGTAAGAAACTGAATCTTATTCCACGAGGAATGTATTTGAAAAATGTTGCATTAATAAACAAAAACAAACAACTTCTTAATGATACAATGATAAAAATAAGAAATAATACCCTTGAATCACAATGTAAGAACTTAAGATTAAACTTGATAGATACAGCAACTCAAGAGAAGATATTACAAACATATAAGATGAGACACAACCAAGAGGGTGTGGATGTGGATGTGGGTGTAGCGTGTAGGTAGGTGTAGATCATCTTCTCAAGCACACCCACATCCACACCCACGCCCACAATCACCCCAAGACAATTTTTTTCGTCTTTTAAACAAAATGGCAATTTGCAGGTAAAACACTCGATGTTGGATCGAAAGTTTGCTTCCTTGGTGCTACAATAAGCACATCTTCTTCTTTTTCCTTTCACAGGTAAATGCATTTCATTGTCAAAATTAAGGACAGTTTTTGGTGATGCTACTATAGACTTCTTTTCAGAAGGAGGTCTTCCACGACTTATTCGTTCACTACCGGAGCAGAGAGACTTTGCCAATGAAACCATATAGTTCAAGTATATTAATTTATCTTGGGCTAATTGGTTATAACAAATGAATGAGTTGAAAATAGATGCATTTAGAAAATAAATAAACATTCGCAGCCAGTTCCTTTTAGACTTGCGATCAAGATTGTAACATAATATTCTTTGGCTAAGCCGATCAACTCCATGTGAAAATTGATTATAATCTTTTACTGCTTTGGGACAGGTGATTGTAATATGTTGGCCATTTTTCAAACAACGGGAAATCAGAACAATGTCGTTGTCTCTATAATTTGAGGCCAAGAAAATGTGTTTGGTGTCCATCCATATGAAGACAATGCTGCTTGGTGTAATCATTATTTTGCAATCTCCTCGTTCCATTTTATTTTTCTTGACAAAATCTGATGGAATACCTGCCCGGTCTGATAGTTCCACACGCTTTTATGTTCTGTAGCTTTAGTTTTTCTAATAATCTGAGAGAAGTAAAAAAATTATCGAAATATAGATGTTTCCCTTGAAAGTTATAACTAGATATAAGATCGAAAACAACACGTTCGCTCAAAGATGTTTCTTTTCCACTGGTTTCCTCTTTTCCCAAATAGATTTGATAGTTGAATTAATAACCAGTGATGAGATCACATAAACACCAAACTTTATAACCTCTTTTTATTGGTTTTAGTGGCAAATATTGCTTGAGACTTGATCTTCCTTTAAATTTTATCATACTTTCGTCAATTGTACCAGAGCAGCCAAAGTTATAATTCTTTTGAAAATTTCTCCATAAAATTTCAGTAAAATTCTTAATTTTGTAAATTTTACTGTAGTCGTTGGATTCTCGTTTCGGTTCTAATGAGCTATCAGCCAAGTGTATATTATAAAAAGTTTGAAGAAAACGATTTCTTGACGTGATAGAAGAAATAAATGTATTATGGAATACTATATCTTTACTCCAATAAAGTTTCATATTTGGCAAGTTATTAATACCCATTAGAATAATCAACCCGAGAAACGATTCAATCTCTTTTTTACTCACATCCTTCCAGCTACTCGTTTTATTCTGTTTATTATTTCGTTCCTTTCCTTTTCTATAAATATTTGTTTGATCAGTGATCAAGTTTAAAATTTCTTCAGTAAAAAAAGTTCTGAAGACTGCAACTGAAGTTGTCTCTATGAGAGAGATTGAAGTAAAGCCGCCATCCGTGATATAAAGTTCATTGATTGAATCCACCTCTTCTATATATTTCTCCAAATCTTGATCAGAAAGTTCAACCTCATCTATATTATCGACTAGTTCATCGTAATCAAAATTGAAATCACTCTCGCTAGTATCATCACTGGCATATGAATCATATGACTCGTCGTCGACTTCATCATTTTCATAAAATTCCATTTGTTTGATTTTAATTGAACAAATGGTAGAAAGAAATAAAGAGTATAAGTGCGAAAGAGAAATCATATGTTTTATAGATTCAAGAGCGACGCAAATTCGTCAGTGAGAACAGGAATATATATATATCCAATAGAGAATGAGAATATTCTCGAAAAAAGAGATTAGAGAAGAGAGAAATAATGACGTCACTGTATCATAGCAGCAAGAATAATGGATATTTGAAAAGAATTTATATGAGAGAAGGAAAGAAAGAAAAGAAAAGTATGAGACGACAATTGCATTTGTTTATGACCTTAATGACCTTACATATTTAATAGTTTAATGTGAATTAAATACTTTTTTCTTTCCTGAAAAATAGGTGGTCCAAAAATGAGCCACCAGTCCTCAAAGGGTTAAAAGAATTATGCTTTGAAAATAATACTGGAAAAATATAAATAGTGTTCATCAAGATGAAGAGTATTTGATTGTATTACTTCTTTTTCAAATAAAAAAGTTCTGCCTTGTTTAGAGCTTGTTCATTATAGCCTCCAGTGACTAAGACTTTCCCATTTTTGAGTACAGTTGCTGTATGTCTTCTTCGTTCATAATGCATACTATCAGTTATTGTCCAAGTTTCTGTCGATGGATCATATAACTCAGTTATTTTTGTATCAACAGATCCAAATCCACCTGTAACTAACACTTTTCCATTTGTTAAAAGAGTTGCTTGATGAGAACTTCGTCCATAGTGCATGCTATCAGTGAATGTCCAAGTTTCTGTTGATGGATCATACAATTCAGCAGTACGATCAGGAAAACTGTCATTGAATCCACCCGTCACTAACACTTTTCCATCTTTTAATACAGTTGCTGTATGATAAATCCGTTTCTGATGCATGCTACCAGTATCTGCCCAAAGTCCTTTGGATGGATTGTACAGTTCAGCACTATTTTGAGCGTCGCCGATTCCACCAGTCACCAATACTTTTCCATTTTTTAATAAGGAAGCTGTATGTCCATTTCGCTCATAATGCAGACGACCAGTGCTTGCCCAGGTACCTTCTGATGGATCATAGAGCTCAGTAACAGTTCCAACGAAACTTCCGCCACTAACCAGCACTTTTCCATTTCTTAATACGGTTGCTGTATGAAAACTTCGTCGAACAGCCAACTCACCAGTGTATGTCCACATTCCTGTCGATGGATCATACAATTCAGTAGTAGACTCACAGCAAAATCCACCAGCAACTAAGACTTTTCCATTTTGCAGTATAGATGCTGTATGCATAGATCGGTTAACATTCATGTCATTGATAGACGTCCACACTCCTGTTGATGAATCATACAATTCCGCACTTTTCAAAATCACTCTGCCCTCTTGGTTTTCTCCGCCAGTAACTAACACTTTTCCATTTGTTAATAAATTCGCTGTGTGTGATCCTCGTAAATCATGCATGCTACCAGTATTAAACCATCCTAAATGGAACTGTTTCCATAAGCTCAAAAAAAAAACTAAATGCTAAGATCAATAACATATTCTTAGAAAGTGTCACATGTTTACACATGGTTACACGTTCAATTTCTGTTGCAATATTCTTAAACAAATCTTCAGCCTATATGTATATAAGATCCAACAAATAGGTTCTTGTTTAATCTTAGAAGATCACAATGTCAAATTTTCTATATTTCTTCAGTCTTTGACAATAGGTCAAATAGATGAGAGCTATCTTCTTTAGAAATAGCTATAGAGTTCAGTTTAGTGTATACGTTCATTGGAAACTGTCTTGTAATATAAATATATGGTCCATAGTTGAATACCCTATCATATATCTCAATATTGACATACAGTTCCATATCTACTTGTGCAATGGCCTCCTTTCGACTCTCACCTTAGATCTATACAGAGATACAGAATCTGGTCGTGTGCGGAAACGTACGTTTGGCTTTTTTATTCATATGAAGAAAAGTCACAAGATGTCATGTGTTCTGTTCTATTACTTGAATAAAACGTGGAAACTTGTATCTCCTGACTCAGTTATGCTAAATCGTGTAAGAAAAACATAATGGAAAGTAACACTGTCATGCAGTTTTTTTTATTTTGAGTATAAAAAAGACCATTGACACAAGTCTATCGAAATTTGGTGTTATCATTTTTGTAAATTCAGAGTTTTCCTTAGTGCATCTTTTGAAAAAAGTTCAGGATCTTACCATTTACCTACCTCGAGGTATATGCCAAATAAAAACTTATGCAAAACTTTTGCCATCTCTGTTTCTACGTCTGACATGCTCTACACTTAGTAGCATATTGTAACAGAATTCTCGTTACAAATCGAAAAAAGATCGTTTCCATTACTATACTAAAGAGTCTTTTATAGGGTTCGTACTAAACTCATGAAAACATTATATAAAAATCAAAAATTTTTTGAAACATTTGGTGCTTTCCTTACATGACTTTTCAAAGTTTTATGTGAAACTAAAACGAGTTGATCCCTTGTATTTGCGAGGAAATTCTTCATAGTCGTCATGAAAAACCGAGTTCTTTGACTGTGCCTTAAAACTATATTACTTATATATGCATAGTTTTTACATATATTCATACAACTATATCTTTGCATCTTGTATCCAGCCTTAAACTGTTCGGTCCATTAGATATTTTTTAACATTTTTCTGAAAATTCGTTATAATATCCGTATATAAAGCATAGTGGGTGTTAAATGCATAGAACGTACAGACCGTATAACAAATACCGGAATTATTATTCACTGTGTACGTTTGTGTGTTTTCACGAAGTACTCATGTTCTATATTTCCTATATGTCGTTTTCATTAGATTTCTGAGACCTCTATAAATGACATTCTATTCAACCGATCTGCTAAGACTTGTCTTCCTTGGTTTTGTAAGATAAAAATATAACTTCTTTTCCAGAACTGATAAATTTGATGTTTTCTTATTTAAAATTCTTATTTCATAGATCTTGGAGTTGTCATAATTCTGATAAGACTACTACTAAAAAGTAGCAGGGCTTTCGCAACAAATCAAAATCTCTTTGAATATATCTGTATTGAAAATATAAACTGAAAACTATCACGCATTGACATTTTCTAACAATCAATTAAAAACAAACCAGCAAGATGAGATCGAAATGTCAAGATGAAAATTCTTTTGTTTAGGTGAAATTTATCTGCTAGTAGCAAGGTAATTCATCCTGATCTGAGATCGTCCGTTTACAATAAGTAAGTCATGAGGTCAAAATGTAGAGTTAATATATCGATAACAATCCGAAATTTGTCATTTATTGCTCACAAAAATCATAAGAAACCGTTCGGTTTGATTTAAAACTTGACTTACTTGACTGCTTGGTTGTGGTCGTAGTTGTTTCTGGTGGTGATCGTGTTATGTTGGTGTTTGCAGTATTCAGATTCCTAGCTACAGCAGCGACGAATGTTAACATCAGAAAGTAACTAACTGCAAAAGAATATTAAAACAGTAAAAGAGATGCCAATATTTCGGCGGTTTAGCGATGCAACAATGGCGATAGGTCATGAACCTGTCGTAGATCGAGGTAGCTAACCAGTGTCATCGGCATACTAGTTCAAATCAGAGCTGAAACCGGCAACAACTACTAGCTAGTCGTCGGTAGGCTGACTAATCTGACTAACTTTCTTACTTTTGAGAATATCTCATGGAAAGTTGGTTGGAATTTGAGTTATTTGAACACTATGAACATATGAAACTATGCCAACATTAACTTAGTCTCGTGACAATGAGAGTTTTAGACCGTTTGTTACTAGGCATAAATCAAATTCGAACTCTGATACAGGATTCGCAATCAAACGGTGAACGTTCGTATGCAAGCGGTCGAACTTAACCTAGCTCTATACAAATTGTAACGACATGTTTATATAATACGTAGTAGAAAAGAGAAAGATCATAAAAGAAACAGCAAATTCTATCCAATACATGCACTTTTCTTTTTCTCTGTCACCCAAACTAAACAAAAAAAAACGACCACTGACGAAACACGACATACAGATGTAGAGTCCGAACATAAGCATAATTAATAAATTATGTCGTGTTACTATTTTGAAGAACTTATCCTATTGGAACATGTAATCAAACGGAAAAAATTCATTTCTACATTTCTTTTTTTTAGTTGAGAAGAAGTTCATCACAATTAAAGTGGTGTAGAAGATTATCGAGATTTTGAACAAAAATTTATCGTAAATCTTTGTTGAAAGAATAAAATCGATGGGGAAAAAAGAACTTCTGCATAATTTAAAGTGTCTATTGTGACAATAAAATCTGTAGAAGAGAAAAAATAAGATATAAAGTTCTTAGCAGTAGAACGATAGACTGGTCAGTCTGGTGTAATCTATCTTTCTTAGCTAAATTCTGAAAGCAGTCACTACAGATGTAGTACACTGTCTTCTTTAATTGAGATATGGATGCACAGCCCAAATTTGACAATGATGAACATATGTTAGAGCTATAATGATCTGGCATTTGATTTTGTTCTTTTAGGATAATAATAGACTTTTTTCGAAGATAACGATTTACTGTAAAACATGACTGACGATTTTCAGCATCGATAGGTAGTTCATAGACATGAGGTAATACCAAAACTAATCTAAAAACTTTTATTTGTTAAGGGATTTAGGTTTTGGCTTTAATCATTTTTCGATTTGAAGGTTTTGAAGTAGTTTTGGGTCTCATCTTGTGAATTTGGGTTTCCGATCTTCTGTTGAAGTGGGATGTCGATGATTGCAGTAAAAAAATTTTGTTCGTCTATCGAATTTCTTATCATATAACAAGGGAAGAGTAGAGATTATTAAACAGAAAGTAGCTGCTAATGTAACCCTAGAAAGGAACAAAGTCTATAGAAAACCGAAGTCGTCAAATCGAATATTACGCTAACAGTGGTGGACGACGTTCTTCACTGTTGCATCTCTAATTTGATCTTATCATTCCCAGTATATACTTACTATATATCTGCTTGTTATGCATATTATATTCGACAAGAAATTCTAATGAAAGAAATATCTGAGCTGTTGTTTGAAACTAAAAATTACTAGTTTATATTTACGTATTACTCACAAGACTAAAATATATAGGTAATCTTATCTCAGCTGTAGAAGGTAATACTAAGTTCTTATCTTGATAGAAGACATTTTACATTTGAATGTGATAGTCACAAAGACAGTGCAAGTTTTGCTTGTATCACTTTTGCCTAAATATTTCTTGTGAATTCGTGCATGAGAATATAGGATAGACATGAGTACTAGTGAGAGTTCAAAAACCTTTATGGATGTGGGTGTGCTTAAGAAGATGATCTACACCCACCTACACGCCACACCCACACTTGATTAATTGAAGTAATAGTTGAATACTTGAAACCTTGAATAATTGAATAGTAGAAGTAATAGTTGAATACTTGAATTCAACTTTCAAGTTTGACACTACTGTTTTTTTCGAGCCATTTTATGTATCTCTATCTATTTTCTTAGTTTAGCTCGATTATAAC